TGGCCCTCAAAGGGTGTGGCCCTGTTAGGAGGTGTGGCCCTGTTGGAGTAGATGTGGTCTTATTGGAGGAAGTGTGTCACCATGGGGCCAGGCTTTGAAGGCTTTTTTTCTCAAGCTTTGCTTGGAGAAATTGTCAGTCGAATTCCTGTTGCCTGCAAGATGTAGGATGCTTGGCTGTTTCTCCAGCACCATGCATGCCTGCATGCTGCCATGCACTCCGCCATGATGGCCTTCTGAACCTCTGAACTTTAAGTGAGCCATTTCAGTGAAATGCTTTCTTAAAAGAGTGGCCATGGAGTCACCTCACCATAGCAAGCCCTAACAAGACATGTACATTCTTTGCTTCTTCATGAGTTGGTCCTCTGATGTGTCATAGTGGACGTCGCACTTTGCCATGCTTTTCATATTTATACTATTTTTTCTGATTATGAATTCTGTAATAATGAAGTATTCAATGTTGATTAAAGATTGCCTTAGTTAGGGTTTCTATTGCTATAATAAACACCATGACCAAAGGCAGCGTGGGAAAGAAAGGGTGTGTTTAAGACGATAGTTCCTAAGTCCATCATCCAAGAAAGACAGGGCAGGAAGCTCAGCAGATCCATTTGCTATTTACTTGTGAGCAATAACTATCACTCTCAAACTCTTTAGAAAAATATCTGGGTCCTGCGGCCCTACTGCAGCCAGGGTCTCTGTTGATGCCCGTTGCTGTTGAGGGCCATGTGGATTTTCGGCATCTGGGCTGCCAACTGGGGCTGTGTTGGTGCCCCAAGACCTCAATGCTGCTGGGGCCATGACGATCTGGGTGACCTGTGCCACCACCCGGGGCTGTGGTACCATCCAGACCCGGGCTGATGCCCAGGATCATGTCTGAGTCTACGGTCCTACCACAGTCAGGGTTTCTTTTGAAGTCTGTGGCCCTAGTTGCCACCAGGAACCACACAGAGACCTGGAGTTTGGCCCACAACTTATGGCCTTGTTGGAGTCTGGGGCCCATGCTGCAGCTGAGACCATACAGATCTGAGTGGCCTGTGCTGTGACCCGGGGCCATGGTGTCATCTGGGGCTGGGGTTGCTGACAAGGGTCCATGACACTATAGCATCCAGGGTCTGGGTTGATACCCGTGGCTACTGTTGCCCCAGAGGGCCATGTGGATACCTGGGGTCAGGTCAGTCACCTGATGGTGTCTGGTCGTGCCTGACTCTGTGACCCTGCTGTGGCCAAGCGTCCGTCTTGATGTTCTGTTACCGTCGAGGGCCGTAGGCACGCCCAAGATCAGGGCCATGCTTCCACTGAGGCTCTGCAGATCTGAGTGGCCATGGTCCTACCACAGCCCAAGTTGCCTCCAAATGTCACATGGAAGCCTGGGGGCAGGGCTGCAACCTGACCTGTGGCCTTGTTGGTATCGAGGGGGCCATGCCACCATCAGGGCCATCCCAATCTGAGTGGCCAGTACTTCTGCCCAGAGCCAGAATGTCATCAGGGTCCAAGCTGCTGCTGTGGGCCATGGCTGAGTCCATGGGCCAACTGCAGCTGAATTGATGTCTCTGACCTGTGCTACCTCAGGAGGTCATAGGAGCCATGTGTGGATGAAATCAGAGGGTCATGTTGAGCTGGCCCCACCCTTTGCTGATTCTGCCCCTCACTGGACACTGCCACAGGAGAGCTGGTCCAGACCCTCACAGGAGAGCTGCCCCCTTGCCCTACCCCTCACTGGGGAAAGATGGTCCCACCCTGCTGTGGGATAATGTTCTTGTACATTGTAACAAAACCTTTTACATTTAAAGGGGGATATGATATAGATATGAATAATTTATACTGGTATAAATTTTGCTTTATTGGTATAAATTTAAGGTCAATTTTGTTATATGTATATGTATTTCTGATCTTGATTAAGGTATTGTGATTGTGTAGTTCATTTAAAAATGTAATGTATATAGGTTGTTAATAGATAATCATCTATAATCGTCAAGTTTGTAGTCATGTTAGTTAGACTTTCTAGGTGTGCATAGAAATATTTCAGATAGGCATTTTTCATATCTTTCAAAGGCTACAGAATATGGCATTAAATGTTTTAATAACTTAGGGCTTTTCAGGAAAAGGAGACACGTCTGCTCCTCCTAGCAGCAGTTAACTCAAGAGGAAGATAGTCCTTCCCCCATCATCTCTTTCCCCACCCCTCCACTTCTCCCCTCTCTGCAGGCTGAAGTGGGACACAATGGACAGGCACAGCTAACAGGTCCTTGGAATGGCAAGTAGAGGAGAGGATTGGCTTTCAGGTCTGCAGTGAGATCGTGGGCATTTTCCTGCCTTTTCCTTGCGCTTTTGTCTTCTCTGACGAGGTTTACATGTAGCCGGGGGTGGGGCAGGTGAAACTAGAGATCCATGCTGGCTGTCAAGTCCAAAAAAAGGCACACATGGCTGTCTGTGGTGCCTAGTAGCATACCAGAGCCTGCTGGTCCGACTCTAAGCATCCCTCAGTAACTTGGCTCTACTCACCCCACCCCTGCCCTAAACTTCTCCAGCTCATGGGCGGTCCTTCCCCACATTCTCATTCCTATGTAGCCCTGCCATTTGGCCATCACTCTCTGGGCCTCTCTCTGTCCTCTTTTGTGTGTGTGACCTCTTTGGGTCCTCCTCTTTTGTTCCCCAAGCCCCTCAAGGTCCTGTCCATTCTGCTGGCCATGTTCAGACTTGGACTTCCTCTCCTTGCTCTAGACTCCTCTCTGAATGTGCCTCCCTCATGCGATACAAGCCATAAATTGGTCATGTCCCCACTTGATCACATGTCACAATGGTCCTCATGCCAGCGCAAAGAATTTTACCCCTGAGTCATCTCTGCTCAATGCTTCCTAATGAGAGAGAGACAGAGAGAGAGAGAGAGAGAGAGAGAGAGAGAGAGAGAGAATAACTGGGAGACAGAATTGTTAGTCACTGTTCTGTTGAAATTATATAAAAAACTTTAAAAAAAAAGGTTAGCAAGAAAGCAAAGCAACACTTTCAGATACCTTGACGTCATTGGGGTGGGAAGTTAAGGTCTATTTCTGTTCTTCATATCAGTTATTAAATGATTTTTATCACATTAGAAGAAACAAATTGTCCACTCTTGAGGCATACGAGCAGGTCCAGAAGGGCCCCCTCAAGCTGAAAGGCGTAGCGGAGCTGGGCGTGACGAAGCGGAAGAAGAAGAAGAAAAAGGGCAAAGACAAGGCCAAGCTGCTGGAGGCCACGGGGACGAGTAAGAAGAGCGAGGAGGAGAAGAGGCGCTGCCTGGACAAGCGCACGCCGGCGCAGGCGGCCTTCGAGAAGATGCAGGAGAAACGGCAAATGGAAAGAATCCTGAAGAAGGCGTCCAAAACCCATAAGCAGAGAGTGGAGGACTTCAACCGACACCTGGACACACTCACCGAGCACTATGACATTCCTAACGTCAGCTGGACCAAGTAGCTTGCCCCGGTGCAAAAGACAGGTCAGGCTGGCTGTTTTGCTCACCTCAGTGTTTTCTAGAATGCCCTACACCTGCCTGGTACATCTGCTGAAACCAGACTTTCCTGAAACTTGATTAAAGGCAGGCTGTCCTTTCACCGGGTGTACCCTTTTCTATTTGGACTGCAACATTGTGCTTTGACAGGCTCGGGTCTTTTCTGGGTTAGGCCCATGGAAGGAGGGTACCCTTCCCACCC